GATTTTAAATAGGGAAATAGTGATAGCAACAACCACATATTCCTCCTAGCCTCTCCCTATCAGCGGAACACCAAGATTTAAGGAACAACTTCTTGATTTGCATCACCCTTACCTCAACCCCAGACCTCGCCCCTGGACTCGGACTCGAATCCGACCCCAAAACCAGACCAGATCCCATAACCCAACCCGACCCCAGTCTTCTAGACTTTAGGCTCTAGAACCGAACTCTGTTTAGAGATGGGTGGATGGTGGTGGTGATGATTGTGGTTTGCTAGTAATGGTGGCAATAACTCAAATACTAAAAAATGACAAATCCTATATTGATGATATTAGACATTACACAATAATGAGAGTGAAATTTCATTACTACATGCATATCATACATATTAGATTGAACATAATTACTGAGTAATAATCATTTTATTCTTATGCTTTATTATTACCAACCAAACACAACCTTAATTCTTTTATATTCAAAAAAAATGGCAACTATTGTGCCAATTATCAAAGGAAAATGCAAAAGTGTACTTGATAATCACAACTATTTATTGGGATCCACTATTTATTCAATGGTTGTGATTATAAAATATACTTTTTAAGTTCATATAGCATTGCTCATTATCAAAAAGTTGTCATCGTCAAATCCATTATGCTGGCCTTAGAATAAAAGGAGACATTATTATTATATATATGCTCTAGGCATGCATTAGTAAAGTATAGTAGGTCACTGGCATCAATGAGGAGTCGCAACAAGAAATAGAGAGGTTTTTTATGGACAGCAATTCCATTGGCTTCAGTCATATCCATACCCTCCCATGCTGCTCCACCAAGCAATACAAAATCAAAATTGAGCATCAGATTTGCCAATGCAAGCTCATTACCTCTTATGGCAAAAAGAGTACCAGGACAACCCCTCCGACCCACACCTAATGGAATCAACTCAAACTGTTGCCCTTTATAAATCTATAGTACCATTAAAGAACCTCTCCCGCTGGAACTCCTCGGGTTCTTTCCACGATAACGGGTCTCTTCTGATCGCCCAAGCATTGATACTCACAGTTGTGTTGGCTGCAATGGTATACCCCATCACTTTGACATCTTGCGTTGATTCTCGAGGAACCAATAAAAGAACTGGAAGATGTAATCGCAGAGTCTCTTTGGTCATTACTTTCAAATAGTACATTTTCTCCAAATCAGTACAGAGCTCCCTTATGGCCAAAGGGTCCATGCCCCACTAGACTTTGAAATCCTTCATCTATCGCCAAGACTTACTGTCTCAACAAAGTATTTTTTTTAATAAATAAAATATTATCTTGTTATTTGAGTTGTGTTACCCACCGATATTAAACAGTGTAATTTTTTGGTTCTGAACATCATCAAAATTAGGCTTTGCAAAAAAAAAAATTAAAATAATTTTCTCACAAATTCAATAATTATGTACATAAAAAAATATGTTGAAAAGTTTAATACAAATTTAGTCATGAATAAATGGCGTGGTATAAAAAATGTCGAGTACTACTTTGATAAATAATTAAGTGGATATGTATTAAAAATATATTCTTTTGTTCATTTTTTTTTTAATATCTTCGTTTATAATGAATTTGTTTTTGCCTATGTTACGATACCTTCAATTGTACCTGCACTCTCGGGCGGAGCCAGTACAAGCACAGAGGGAGTAGAGGTCCAGAGGGGGCACTGGCCCACCCTGAAAGTTCCCTTGTCAGTGCCCATATTTTATATGTTATAATCTTTAACTTTTTTTAATGGTACTGGCTAATGGTGCCCACCCATTATGCCGTAGTGCCCACCCATGAAGGCCATGATTAAAATGGGACTGAGCCCATTTTCTATTTATTTATACTTTTTGGGCCATTCATCGTACTTATTCACATTTTTTGAGTCAGACTATTATTTATTTATTTATAGATAAATTGTAAAGGGTATACTAAATTAAACTTAATTTGGCAAAAAATACACACTAAAAAATATAGGGTTATTAAGTACTTAATTTTGATATTTATTTGTATCCAAGTACATAATTTTAATTTATTTATTTTTATTGTGACATTTTTGCCTTCCATTAATCCATGTGTATTTAATGCACTATTTTTCAAGTGGTGCATTAAACATCTCCTAGTTTTATGGGAGAACTTTAATATATATATATATATATATATATATATATATATATGTATGTCTATACTTATGTATGTATGTATGTATGTATGTCTATACTTGTTGTTAAATCTCTTATTTAAATTTTGAATTATTTTTTAATGCACCTTGATTCATGTATTTTTTTTTTCAAAAGTGGCTTTATTTTCAAATTAATTTAATATCCAAATAGTGTAATAATGTAACAATAACAGTGTAACACTAATAATGTAACAGTATAACAATAATAGTGTAACAAACTATTTACACAAAATATTGTACTATTACATTTTGTTAAATATATAGTTTCATATAATTTTATTCAAAATAGTCCATCTCCGTTTTGAATTTGTTACCATATACACAAAACTATTGAACACTATTTTTGTTATAGTGTATTTGTTACACTGTCTTTGTTATAGTGTTTTTGTTACACTGTTATTGTTATACTATTATATTATTCAGATATTAAATTAATTTGAAAATAACATTATTTTTCAAAAAAAAAAAAGCCGTTTGAATCAAGGTGTATTAAATATAATTTGAAAACAAAATCACTTTTCAAAAAAAAAAATACGCATGAATCAAGGTGCATTTAAGATAATTCAAAATTTAAATAAGATATATATATATATATATATATATATATATATACACATGAATTAAGGTGCATTAAATACGTATTTATATGTATTAACAAACACACATGAATCAAGATGCATTAAAGATAAGAGATTTTGAATTAAATGACTCTAAAATGAGCATTTATGACATTTTAATTCATATTTCTTTTTATGTATTTTTTGTCAAGTAAGTCTAATTAGGTGTACCGGCTTCCAAAGAACCCTTTATTTATCGTTATTACTATTGATCCAAACTCATGTAAAAAAAATTTTTCTTAAAATTATTTTATATAAGTTGGTATTATAATAATGTGTTTAAAGGCTTCTTACACTTCTCCTATAGTTGTAGCGTAACCCAGAATGGGTCTCCTTGATTATTAAAATTACAAATATCTTCATTCAATAGTAATGATATAATTCGATAATATTTTTCTGACATCTTCAATATCTTACTGTTTAATTTTTAATCAATTGTGAATATTGTTGGGTGCTTGATTTTGAATGCTTACATTGAGAAAATTCGTTGAGGCTAAATGCTTACAAATGACACAATTTTTTTTTGTTTTTTTAACAAAAGGCTTATAATTAATTTTTTGTTTTGATTTAATTTTATACACTATGCTTACCTAATTTTGGAATTTTATTTTAAGGAAATTTTGAAATATTATAAGTAGCATAATAAAAAAAATTAATTATCTTACTTTTGTAAATTTTGAGGAAAAACATTTAAAATCTTATTAAAATGTTTGGTACCCACCCACAAATGATTTTTTTGTAAATTTTGTGCTTATGTTCAAGTTTGAATTTTTTTTTTTTTTTTTTTTTTGCGGTTTGTTAGTTACAAGATTCTTAAAACTTGTCACATGTTAAAACTTGTCATATATATATATATATATCAAAGGCCCATTGGTCACATGTTGATATAGATACGAGATACATGTACGTTATGATACAGACACGACAATATTATAAAATTTTAAAAAATAGAATATGGGTATGACTAAGATATATTTATAAATATATATTTTATATTTTTATTATTATGTAATGACTTGATTTCTACAATTTTTAGTGATTTCTTTAACAATATTAATAATTTTTTATTTTAAAAAGTCACACATCTCCCCATTATGGTACATCTACAGAGTGAGCATGATTAATTAAAAGAATAAGAACTAATATTTAAATATATTATTTGTTTTAAAGTATTTATTGTTAAGATTATAAAATAATCAACTCATTTAAACTATTTTTATATGTGATAATGAATAATATTTAAAAAATACTCATGTATTTTTCAAGTCGTAGGAATTTTTGTTGACATATGTAAAGATTAAAACTAAAAATTACACATATTAAAAGTATTCCTGAAGGCACAGAGTAATAAAAAATAGTAAACAATAAATATATTTGTATACATATCCAAAATCAAATCACCAACATAGAGAATAGATAAAAAAAATATAAGCATCGAATTATAATAGGGGTAAGAGGTGGTGGGCGGCAATAGTGGTGGTAGAAGACGGTGATGATTGTGGTGTGTGACAACAACCCTGACGGCGAGGGCGGCGGCGACAGAGGTGATGGTGGTGGTGGCGACAACGACGGTGGTGATGGCGGTGGGGGGGGGGGGTGGGTGTGGCGACGGTGGTGATGGCTGTGGTGGAGGCGATGGCAGTGGCGACGATGGAGGCGAAGGCGGTGGTGGTGTTGAGGCAGCTTTAAACACTATTTTTTTAAAAAAATATTTATAAAAAATAATTTCTAAAAATATTTTTAAAAACCACTTCAAACACACCCTTAGGGTACCTATTTTTCCTATTAAATTTGGGATGTTAATATTAGTTGTTAAATTAATTTTAAAATAAAATTTAAAATGATCTCAACCGTGAATAGCAAAAATTATTTTGTTTATTTTTTAGATTTGAATTGTAAGCTACTTTAATATATAAATTTTATTTATTATTACATATGTTTGACGTGTATTTAACATATATTTTTAAATATCCTACTAATATTATATGCCATACAATATGCAATACAAATACGTGAATTAATAGACCACAAGTAAATTTCCGTGGTGGTGGGTCTGATAACATGATCAGTTTGACATCCACATGCTTATATACATATATATATATAGAGAGAGAGAGAGAGTCCTCCAGAAAGTGAAACAGCATTGAAATATTAGTAAGAATAAGCGAAGTGTTGGAGCAAGAAACAATGGTGTTCCAATGGCATCTCTCAGTTTTCTCTCTCTTCTCCTTGTTCTTCTTCATTGTCTTCCTTCTCAAATGGTTTTTCAACACTCCAAAAACCCAAGAAAACCTACCTTCTTCCCCACCTAAGCTTCCAATTATCGGTAACCTTCACCAGATTGGGTTAATACCTCACCGCTCGCTCCGAGCATTAGCTCAACGTTATGGCCCACTCATGCTGCTTCACCTCGGCGGTGTCCCAGTGCTCATAGTCTCCTCAGCCGATGCAGCCCACGAAATCATGAAAACCCATGACCTGATATTCTCAAACAGACCCAAATCAAGCATTGCCAGTAGACTTGTCTATGACTCTAAGGACATAGCATTTGCTCCTTATGGAGAGTATTGGAGGCAGGTGAAAAGCATATGTGTGCTCCAACTTTTAAGTAACAGGAGGGTTCAGTCATTCAAAAACGTCAGAGAAGAAGAAACAGCACTTATGATTCAGAAAATTAGGCAGAACTGTTCTTCTTCTTCTTCAGTTGTGAATTTGAGTGAGATTTTAATATCACTTACGAATGATGTGGTTTGTAGGGTGGCGTTGGGAAGAAAGTACAGTGGAGGGGGAGAGGTTATGGAATTGTTGGGGGAGTCTGCGCAATTATTGGGTGTTTTTAATGTTGGGGATTATATCCCATGGCTTGGGTGGATGAATCGTGTAAATGGTTTGGATGCTAAAGTAGAGAAAGTAGCTAAAGGGCTTGATGAATTTCTGGAGGGTATTGTTAAGGACCACACGGAGAGGAAGAAAGGAAAGAATGATGGTGGTGGTGGTGATAGTGTTGAAGAAGGGACAGACTTTGTGGATATTTTGCTTGAAATTCAGAGAGAGAAAATGACTGGCTTTTCTATTCATAGAGATACCATTAAAGCCCTTATCATGGTAAGCATAGCTCTCTCCCCGTGTGTGTGTATAGTTCTTTAGTTATTCTCATTGGTTTACACCGTCTTAGATCACTTATCAACACTGCTTTTGGTGTCTTGCAAGTTTTGAGTCAGTTGGTATGGCCTCTAGGAAAGAATCCATGTAGTAATATTGAAAGAACAGCGATATGTATCTCAAATTTATAATTTAAATTTGTATCTCAAATTAAGAAGGATTATTAGATCAGTAAGTTCCATCAATTTTTTTAAATGGCACCCACTAATCCAATAATCCTCATTTATTTGGGATGCAAATTTGAATTACAAATTTGGAATATATATCATTAACACAATCAAAATTAATTTAGCAATGCTACTGAGACTTAATATTTGCTAACTTAAGTAATTATTGTCATTGATTTAATTGTGAGTTTTAATATTTATTGATACATACTATTTATTCAATGGTTACAATTGATTAAGTAGACAAATCATGTCAATATTTGAAGTTCAAATAATATTTCTCAAGTAATTAAAAGTCAATCAATATCAAGTTATGATTCAAAGTGGTCAATCACAACTCAATTGAGTCAAATTATGACTCAAAAATCTTTAAATCGATTCTAATTTCTCTAATGTTAGAAGTATTTCATTCTTGGGAGAAGTAATTTGTGCATAACACTTGTAAATCTATAAAAAAAAAAAACAGGATATAAATCATGTACCAATCCGAAATTAATTTTTCACGAAATTTTTTTCTTTGTAGGATATGTTTGGTGGTGGGACTGAAACAACATACACACTTCTAGAATGGACAATGACAGAGCTCTTAAGACACCAAGAAACCATGAAGAAATTGCAGAATGAGGTGAGGGAGGTAGCGGGAGGCAAATCAAACATAACCGAGGATGATTTAGAGAAATTGCACTATTTGAAAGCAGTGATCAAAGAAACTCTACGGTTACACCCGCCAGTTCCATTATTAGTTCCTCGAGAATCAACACAAGATGTCAAAGTGATGGGCTATAAAATTGCAGCCAGCACACGGGTGATTATCAATGCTTGGGCGATTGGAAGGGACCCCTCGTCGTGGGAAGAACCTGAGGAGTTTCAACCCGAGAGGTTCTTGAATGCTTCTATTGACTATAAAGGGCAACACTTTGAGTTGATTCCATTTGGAGCTGGCCGGAGGGGGTGTCCTGGTATTCATTTCGCCGCAAGTGTTTTTGAGCTTGCATTGGCAAAACTGATGCTCAATTTCGATTTTGCCTTGCCTGGTGGAGCACCAGGGGAGGACATGGATATGACTGAAGTTAATGGTATTACTGTCCATAAAAAATCTCCTCTACTTGTTGCTGCAACTCCTAGTTCTTGCCAGTGACTTACTGTTTCTAATAATTGGCACACTGGTTGCCATTTTGTTTGGAAACTAAAAGAAATAAGTGGTTCCTATAGGAAATTTGTAATGTTTATATTTGATATTTTACTTTTCTGCCACTATGTATCAACTAAATTTGCATTTTGGTGATGTATTCAATATCTAAGCTTCTAAATGTTCAATATCTCCATCCTCCTAACCTCTCTTTTTCTGGATATTTGTTGTATAGTGCGCTACAAAAATTGGAGAATTATAAAGTAGTGGTTTTTTAGGACATTAGTGTTTACCGTCATAAAAAAAAATGAAATTAACTAGCAATTCTCATATTGCACCCTCAATCAAATAAAGTAGTAGTAATATGCTCTATTTTTTTAAAAAAATTAAGCATAAAATTTTCATTGAAAACACTTAATATTGAGTATTATACAAATAATTGTGTATATAAATAAGATAATATAATAAATATAACAAAAATATTTATTAGAGTAAGAAATATACATTTAGTTTTGAACTAAATTCCTACCTTTTCAAACCTACCAAATATAATAACATCGTTTCATATCTGACAGAATTGCTGTATAACGGAAAAGATGCTTGTGAAGATTAATTATATAAATTAAAATAATTTTTTTATATGCTCATGAAATTAAATAATTTTTGCAGCCCTCTTTCTATAGGAATTTGCTATATATTTCAACAACGTTCGGGGAGTGAACCAAGGCATGCCTGAGGACACAGATCCAGATTCCAGCCGAATTATTATAGTTATTTCAATCAAATTCGTTATAAAATGATTCAAAATATAATTGTACAGAGAATTAATATTTTATAATAAATACCTAGGTGACGGGACTTTAGACGGCTAATTTTCCCCGAAGAGTAATCTCTCGTGCCCTAGGCATCCATGAGATGTTGACTGCTTTGAAGACTTCTTCGTTGGTTGTTACTTTGTTGTATGAATAGTTGGCTAAACTCGTTTTTAAGTAGTATTTATTTTTTTATTTTCATTTTACACTTATTTAAATTTGTCTATTCCTCCAAGTTTATATGTAAACTTGAACTTGAAATGATTCCCAAAAGGGCTAATCTCACTTTGCACTACCAAAGTTATTTCGATTTTTTAATTTGTATCTTCAAACATTAAACAGTTTAATTTGCACGTTTTTAATATTATGAATCAGTAACAATGTAGAACTAACCCAGATTGTCGTTCAATTTCCTATCATAAATTGACACACGTGAAGTATAAGTGCTTCAGACATAAGTATGAAGTATGTTCATCGGTGCAGATTTTCGTCCGCGATCAATTTGACACCTATTTTATGCATTGAAAATAGGATTACTTTAATCAAATAAAGGATAACTCTTTCATGCGCAACTCACATGAAACGCCAACAGTCTGTGAATTTATATGTAAGTCCTTGTTTGAAGCATTTGCAAGTTGCGTGCTTCAATTTATGATGAAAAACTAAATGATAATATGAGTCAAGTCTACATTGTTATCAATTCATAACATTGAAGGTATAAATTAAGATTTTTAATATTTGAGGGTACAAATTAAAAATTAAAATATCTTTTGGGATCTAAAGCGAGATTAGCCCCTCCCTAAAATTTCGGGGATCCTATGTTTGACCAAATCATTGATAATAGTAAACAGTTAGTTTCATTTTCATACCTCTTAATTAATATGTAGTCACCTTTGTATATATTGTGCATAATTGTGTTCATATCGACCAAATAAATCGAGTAAATTTATTCGATTATTGATAGAACTTTTAAACATTATACTTATATTGATAATTTTGTATCGATTTTTCTCGAAAACTAATAGCTTGTTACCATCCTTACACTCATATATTAACTCTAACGGATCGTTTTTGTTGTCTCCACCATCCGTTTGGGGATCCTCCCAAATAGGTCTTTCAACAAGTCAGATGTGGATCGTATCTTATTTGATTTAAGTTTAAATTAAATTAACAAAACTAGTATCAAAAAATATAATTCAATCCAATAAATTCAATTGAGCTGATTTTGAACAAATTATATTTGAATTTTACTCAATTTTATTAAGTCATCGGTTGCTTTTATCATGTATTTTTTTTTTTTTGGTTTATATACTTATAATTCGAATTCAATCATTAATTAATTGGATAGTGTTATATTTAAATTCAAATCTATAAAATATAATATAATTGATTTTAATGAGTAAAAATATTAATTCATACACAAGTAGTTGATTTAAATTCCCTTCAAAGGGAGAGAAATTTGGCATCCATCAATGTTAGTTGAATTTGATTTATCGACCTAATTTGCTAATTTAATCATTAATAACTATTAAATTGATAGTGGATCCCAATATTTGTTGGGACTCACAACTAATCTAATAGTTGTAATCGATTGCATTAATTAGTAAATTAGATCCAAATAACAATATTAAATACTTGTGCAAGCAATGTTATTTGAACATAATTTTTACAATATATTTAAACTTGTGCCGATTACTCTGTCAAATGCTAAGTCAACCAGAATAACTCGAGTTAATTTAATAATATGTTCTCAAAAAATAAGAATGATTGATACTTAGAGATATGATTAGTATTGAATCTAAAAACTCTTAATTACAAACAAACAGACTTATCATTGAACCATCATAATGCAACTATGTGGAGGGCCACTCATGCTCCTCCACCAAGGCACCGTGCCGACCATAGTCGTCTCAGACGCAGCCCGCGAAATCATGAAAACCAACGATCTCACCATCGCAAACAGACCCAAATCACAAATCTCTGAAAAGCTTCTCTACCGCATGAAAGATGTCTCAGTTGCACCTTATGGCGAGTATTGGCGGCAGTTGAAAGCATATGTGTTCTTTAGCTTCTGAGCAAGAAAGAGTTCAGTCGTTCGCCGCCGTGAGGGAAGAAGAAACAGCCCTGATGATGGAGAAGATCGGAGAGTTATCGTCCTCCTTCTCCTCGTCGCCGGTGAATTTAAGTGAAATGTTCACGTCGATTACAAATAATGTGATCTGTAGGGTAGCTTTTTGGGAGGAAATATGGTGAAGGAGAGAGAGGAAAGAGAGTGAAGATGCTGTTGAAAGAGTTTTTGGTGTTATTGGGTAGTATCAATATTGGAGACTTTATCCCATGGCTAGGGTTTATGGATCGAATTAATGGATTCCATGCTAAATTGGATAGGGTTTCGATGAGCTAGATGAGTTCTTGGAGGGAGTAGTTCAAGAACGCTTGGATCGTTTGGAAATGGCGACTGGTAGTACAATTGTTGATGGTCATGGGAAGGAGAGCTTTGATGATATTTTGCTAAAGATTCAGAAAGATGATGCTACTGGGATCTCCATTGATAGAGATAGCATTAAAGCTCTCCTCTTGGTAAACCCCTCTCTCTCTCTCTCTCTCTCTCTCTCTCTCTCTCTCTCTCACACACACACACACACTATTATTAACACTAATTCTCTTTAACAATAAAAATCCTTGTTTATGATAAAGTAGATCGGTATTCATTCTTGAATATATACACTCATAAGCAATATAGATTTTTCATAATCTTTACATTCAGTTTTTTTTATAATGGGAATATATAGAATTATGGTTGGTACAAATATGTATGTTAGTCATGTCCATGTGCCTACTGTTTTTTGTTTTTTCGGTAAGTAAGAATTTCATTAATCGAAAGCGGTAATCCGCATGTTCAATGGATACTTACATGTAAAAAACCTACACAGACGAAAGGAAGCAAAAAGAATAGTGTTTAGAATAGAATGAGAGAAAATTAATCCATGTGCCTACTGTTGAGTGCGAATAGAATGAGAGAAAATTGTATTGTTAGACATATTATTCAGAACGAGAAAAAAAATTTGATAAGATATGTTATATTTAAATTTTAAATATGTTTCTCGACTTACAAAACTAGAACACATCGATAGGTCTTGTTGTGATCTATATGTAATAAAGATTGGCCTGTTGTATATATAACTAGTGTTTATTAGATTCGTATCCTATTTAGTTAGGTTCATGCTAAATTATTTTGTATAGCATAGACGGGCATAATAAATGCGGCATTTTGTGTTTTTAGCCATTGTACTTTGTATTAAAAATTTATGAGATAATTTATAATTAAATGTAAAATATGATTCTCGACCTACAAAATTAGAGCCTGTCGATAGGTCATTATGTAATAAAGTATGACATGTTGTGTATAACTAGTGTCTATTAATTATTGTATACCAAATACAACATTGTGTTCTTAGCCATTGTACTTTTGTTTTAAAAAATTATGAGGTAATTTATATTTAAATGTAAAATATGTTTCTCGATGAATAAAAATTGAGCCTGTCAGCAGGTCATATGTATATGTAATAAAGTATGACATGCTGTGTATAACTAGTATTTATTAATTATTTTGTATAGCATCAACGGGTATACCAAATGCGGCATTTTGTTTTTAACTATTGTACTTTTGCATTAAAAAATTATGAGATAATTTATATTTAAATGAAAATATGTCTCTCGACGCACAAAAATAGAACCTGTCGATAGGGCATGTCATGTATAACTAATGTTTATTAATTATTTTGTATAGCATCAACGAGTATAACAAATGCGACATTTTGTGTTTTTAGCTATTGTACTTTTGCATTTGAGTAATTAGGAACTAAGACAAGGTAATTTCACCCGATGTGTACCGAATACTTAATTTTCAGGTTAACGACATTTTTGGTTCTTAAAAGTATATAAGTTTTGTCAGTTTAGTTTTTAAAATATTAATTTTTATAACTTGATTCTTAAAATATTCAATTTATGTTCAAATCGCCCCTATACAGATAGACTATTAACTCTTTTTTTTCCAGAATAATCACACGTTAGACATATGATAATATTGAAAAAAAATGACATATAGTTATTTCTGTCAAAAAATTGAATTGAAGCTTTAGAGATTAAATTGACAAAATTAATACAATAAAGATTAAACTAACAAAATCAACATATTTTAAAGATCAAAACTTCTATTCACCCTAAATATTATTATAGCGAAAATACCAACTTTCTAATTGGTTAAGGAAGACAATTGGAGTGACATGTTTTCTCCCACCTAATTCTAATTGTAATTGTTGGAAGGGTTCTAGGGGTGTCATGAAGCCATGTATTATTGTCATCTTCATGTATTATTTTTTAAAAAAAATCACATAAACGTTGGTTTGATCAACGTCTTAAAATCCTCTTACCTTAAACGTTGGTTGATCCAACGTTTTTATCGAACCCTCCCCTTCTCTTCTTTTCCATTCTGCTTAGTTAATTAACTAACGGAATGCCAAAATATAATATTTTTAATAAATTAAGGGTACAATATAAAATATCTAATTTTTAAGAATATAAAATATAAATTTCTAATTTTTTAAAGCTACAAAGTATAATTCACCCTAAATTATAGAAGGTATTTTCGCATTTTTTATCCCGAAAATTTTTATTTTCTCCTAAAAAATTAAAATTTTCATATTATTCTCTTTAATATATTAAAAATATTATAATGCGGCCCCACTATTAACTTTCATTTTTTCGTCAAAATCAATCCATTGATCCGGACAAAAAAAAATAACAAAAATTAATAGAAGGATTACATTTTAATACTTTTGATATATTGAAAGTATAATATAAAAAAATTTAATTTTTGAAAATATAAAGTAAAATTTTAAAATTTTTCGGGCCTATTACATAAAGTAATAATTCCCACTATCCTATTTTTTTTTTTTAATCTTTTTTTTTAATCAATCACTATTATAGAGAACGATGTTCGAATTCGCGATCTTAAGGTTCAACTAACCGTTAATCTCTTTTATATTTTGATTCATATTTTTTTTTATTTGAGATTTATTTTTATGTTGACAGGAATATGAATACAGGAGTCGTGAAGTCATGACTAGTCAAGTGTAATTAGGATCAGCTCAAGAGTAAGACTCCATTACCAGAAGTCTGAGAAGATTTCTGGTTTGTTGTAGAGTCCACAGATGATTCAATAGTATGTTTTCAAAATAATTTATTTTAACTATAGAGAAAAAAAATAGTTAAAATTCTATTTTTTAGAATTTTTTAATTGAGATTGATTTTTTAGTGCTGTTTGAGAAATTAATTTTATTAGGATTCCAATTATAATTCCTTGAATGAAATAAAGTAATGTCAATATACTAATTATATTGGAACCTGTAATTATGAATTAGTTAATTGAATTAGGATAAAATTTAATATACTATTCTATAATATATATTATCAATCATATTAAAATTCTAAACAATTTAAATTTTATTTAAAAATATATTACAATATCTATTTTTACATAAGTCAATACACCTTAAAAAGTTTATTGTGATTGAGGATTTATCCTGATTTAACATAAATTAATTTAAAATATTATATATATACAATTATTTTTTATCTTAAAAATGAAAGGGTTAAACTTTTTGATGAAAAAGAAAATACACATATATAGGTATAATATTATTTTTACATACGAGATAAGTAATATTAGATTTATAAGTAATATTAGATTTATAGCCTTTTTGAAGGTTTTTTGACATTTTATTAAAAATATAATGGTTCATATTTTTTTAAGGTTAATATAATCAATCAAAAACTTTTTCTAGAAAATGATATTTATACATATAAAATAGATAATTAGGGTAAAATAGAGATTCAAACTTTTTTTATGTTAAAATATTTTTATTACTAATATATATAAATGTAGATATAGATAGATATAAAAATAGATACGGGGTTGCATGCACCATAATTTGTAGTAGGTATGCTAGCCTTAGGGCTATTAATCAAGTTGACTTTGCGAGTTTGAACCCAAGCTTAACGTGCTCTTTTTTTTAAATGAGTCAGAAAAAAAATGAGCTCGAGTCCAAGTTGTTCGACTATTTTATATAAAAACAAGTATAGTATTGCGATCTTGAGCTGAGATTTTTTTAGACTCGTTTATCGAAAAAATATTTAAGCTCGATTTGTTTAGACATGAGTCGAGCCGAGCTGAGCCCGAATAATTCTGCTCGATTACCGGGCCTAATTAGCCTCTATGTGCATATAGTTGAGTGCAAATAGAAAGCTGCATTGTCAAATTTTTTTGATTTTGTTTTGAATGATATTATTATTATTATTATTATTATAGAAAATATCAATCTTAATAGAACATAATGACATAGCATAACTCTTATAATTGATTCTAATAAATAATTGAGCGTCGGTTCAATAGAATTGAGTTGGGCTATTGACATAACTAATTGATCAATAAGCATCATTTATTGCTACTCAAAATTCAAGAATAAAGTAAAATATTATTCGGACCTAAAATATTAATCTTATTTGTAGAATTAATTTTTTTTGTTAAATTAAGCCCATTAAGGGCAAATTTTTATTGATCACGAAAATAGAGGGAAGGACATAAACCTTGCCTTTTTACATAACCGAGTAATTCAACTAAAAAAGGAGTCCAATCAAAGAAAAAGTCTAGCAGAAGGATGAACAACAATTTCCAAAAGATCCCAACTGTACAGTCACGTGAACAGTTACATGAACAATGGGAGTTTCAGGTGAATTGAAACTCCATAAAATTCAGCTGCAGTTGCCAAAGGAAATTTCAGTTGTACAGTAAGGTGAACAGTGGCATCTGGGCATTTGCAGAATTAATCAATCATAACCATATAATTAGTTGTGAGTATTCACAAATATTAAGATCTACGGTTAAATCAATGATAACAATTGATTACGTCAAAAAAATCAGGTTAGTATTTTTGATTCAAATAGCATTCGTCAAGAATAAAATTTGTTCGAGGTTAGCGATTGCCCTCATAACCTTGACCGTGCCATTAGACCTTATTGTCATTGGTTCAATCTCGTTGTCCCCACTCTGTAATAATATATATATATATATATTTCAATTGGTCGGTACCAGCTGTGAGGGTGGCGGTGGTGTTTGAGTGATTGAAATGAAGAAGAAGAGATGACATTGATGATACAAATGTCTTTTTGCCACTGCTGTCAACGGTGTTAGCAGTTCGTTTTAGTCTAATAACAGAGGGTGGTGATTGCATATTTTGAAACGACAAGGGGTGATGTGAACAATAACCTAACCACAGGAGGTTAAAAGAATTTTGCCCTATTTTCTTCACCCAGTAGCAGTTATACCAGTTTGTTGTCTAAAAAAGAATTGGTTGTATTTGATATTAACCTAACTATTTTGTTAATCGTGTTAGCATATGGTATATTTTCGGGTCATTATTGAGAAAGAATCAACCCTCACCTGAGAATTTCATATGATCTTCGTATAGAGTCAAAAATTATGAACTGCTATACTAAAATGCTGGGGCTATTTCAGTACTTTACTTTTGTTTTGCCTGGTGGGTTGCCATTTAAGCACAGATAGTTTATCTTTGTACTGGTATTGTAGGATATATTTTCTGCTGGAACTGATACTTCAGCTACAGTTATGGAATGGGCAATAACAGAGCTCTTAAGACACCCCATCATATCATGAAAAAAGTCCAGAATGAGGTTAGATGAATTCTCAATGGCAAAAACAAAATAAATGAAGATGATTTGGAGAAAATGCACTATCTGAAAGCAATGATCAAAAAAATTCTTTGTTTTCATCCTCCTATTCCCTTTCTGGTTCCTTGAGAGGCCAGTCCAGATGTCAAAGTCATGGGCTATGACATCGCGGCTGGCACAATGTCGTGACCAACTCCTGGGCAATTGGAAGAGACCCTGAGTTGTGGGATGAACCGGAGAAGTTTTCCCCAGAGAGGTTCTTGAACTCCTCCATAGATTTCAAAGGCCATGACTTCCAGTTGATACCATTTGGTGCTGGCAGGAGAGGATGCCCTGGAATTGCTTTTGCAATGGTCACTAATGAGCTTGTGTTAGCAAATCTTATGCAAAAGTTTGATTGGGAATTGCCTCATGGGACAAAAGGGGAGGACTTGGACATGACTGAATGCCCTGGTGTTACATCCCGTAGGAAGATCTCTCTCCTTGCTGTTGCAACTCCATGTTTCTGAACAACCTGTTGTTGTTGCTGTTACTCAAACCCATGACCTCACATCGCAACGATAAATACTTGCCATTGTTCTAAAATCCGTCCTAAAACTGTAAAAACTTGTGTCATACTTTTTGCTTGTACAAGTATAGTCTTCTTTTTACTAAAGCATGTCTTTTTTTAGGGTTAATTAGTTTTTACCTCCAAGTGATTTCGACTAGAAACATTTTACCTACTTAACGTTTAAAATTATACACATTATCCCTTTATAGTTATGTACTAAGGTGAAATAGTTATTTTTATCATCTAAATTAACGGAGAGTGTGCTTCACTCATCCAAAATATATTATAAGTTTTGTTTTTATTGTTTTTCTCCAAAAGAATAGTCTAGGGGGCCTAAAATACCTTTTATAATAGAGCAATGCTATAAAACCCAATGAAATTTAAAAAACTATAGGTCAAATGCATATCATCTCTTGAATAAGTGGATTTTATCAATTTTTTCAATATGATCTACTCATCCAAGGTATGATATGCATTTGGATTTTAACTTTTGTGTTTCATTTAAGTTATGTAGTATTTTCCTTTATAATATACGATATAATACCCAAATAGATAGGGTATTGGTCACAGATCAAAAAACATGTAAGAAAAATATAAGTGATTTTTTACCCCCGGATCAAAACCTCATTTGAGGGAAAAAGAGACTTGACATTTTTGATTGAAATGTGTTAGTTTATTGTAATGTTCCATTAATATTATGGTCAAGAGTAAATTAGATAAAAAAAATATAATTTTAGAACGGTGGTTTTATAGTAATTTTTTAGTTTTATTAACGACATCAATTACTTTACTTTGGTACATAACTATTAGGGAGTAATGTGCATAATTTTAGACATCAAGTAGATAAAGTGTTTCTAATTAAAATTAAAGGGGTAAAAATCAATTAACCCCTTTTTTTTTTTTAATATACCTCCTATTTTAACACCCGGGGTTACTTTGTAATTTTGCAATTTCGGATTAAAGCAAGACAGGGTGTACTTACAGTATATTTTTTTTTTGGAGTCAATAGCGTCAGCTAGAATTATATTCATGACTTTATTTTTATTGGCTCTCACCGTTCACCATTCTTCAGTAATCAGTTCTTGTCTTCAGCTTTGCAAATATAAAACTGTCACAGTTTAGAGTTCGGTGGCCTATCAGTGTTAGGATCTTGTGTTTTTCACCAATTACCTTTGGGAGGGTGAGTATGCCTGAAAAGTTAGGAACAATGTTACAGTGACCTAAATTGAGAACGCATGTATCTTATTTATATACACCCACATATGAATGGTTTTATATTTTACTGAATTCTTTTTTTTAGAGTTGGCAACTATCCAATGCAAAGAATTCAGTTCTTTCAAATAAATACCCAAGTAGGCTTATAGAGTTGATCTTGATTTGATCAAAATGCTATTTATATCTAATTAGTGATATTTTTTGTTGACCTAATAGATTTGTTGCTCCAAAATTTCCTGAGATAGACAAAAATATTCTAATCGACTGACAATTTTCAAGCGACTGTTTATAAGAGTTCAAATGTTTTGTTTCAGGATTTCATTGGATGATAAATAATGAACAAACACATAGTACATAAAACTAATAAAAGAGAATTATTTTATTATTCGGTTACACAAAAACTAAATAAACAACGTTGATTATAGCAATAACTGCCTCCTAAAAACAAATCTAAAATTACAAATAAAATGGTCCACATCGTAGGAATTGTAAGAGTTTGTGAATGTATCGGTCATCTTCTTCACTACATGCCATTTAATATTCACTGTCTTCGATGACTTTACTTTTATCGACGATTATTGACTAGTAATCTCTAATTAACTATTTCTTTTTCTTTTTTTAAATATAATTGTAGTTGATCATCTTTTGTCTTTTTTTGAATTTTGTCATGTAACGTTTTCTCGGTGCCTCCAGACTATCAAATATCCGTACATTGAATATTTTTGAATTTTAATATTTTATGTCCAAGACCATGCCTATTACAGTACTTCATTGCTATAAACGAAGTCCAAAAAATCAGACAATTTTCTGGCGTGATATTTTGAAGCATTATATGTAGTGATCTTTGCCAGCGATGAATAAGATTGTGATAGTCTATAATTTGGACTAGTGTCCATATAGTGCCAAGAAAAATCTCAGATTCCCAAGGGAAGCTTTTTGTTTTTTCTGTTTTTTTGGCTGACACAGATCAACGACTAAACCACAATCTATTCCAATCAAAGATAAAGAGAGGAGGACCACCACCAAACTTGGTGGATGGACCGGGTAATCTTTGATTGCAGAAGCATAAGATATGGACAGTAAGATGATGTAGCTAACCTTGACTTATTTGCAAAAAAACAAAACAGGAAACATAACCATCCATTACTAATAGTTACTGTCATTAGTACAATGAAGTGGTGGGCCTAGTGTCGGCTCCGCCACTGTGAGGTAGAGTCAGATACATGAACCCTCTTATGTCTATGTATAGAGAGGTTGTTTCCGTGACGCCAAAGTCACAATAAAGTAATGTTATTGTTCCTCTAAATGCTAGTACATTTAAGAATTTTGTTCTAATACACAAATGATGCAAAACCTCTTGGTTCAACCCCATGTCGACAACCAGGAGGGAAAACTAAACACAAAATCTCTCTACAACAAGAATCTCTCCAAAATTCAAATGATCAAAAGATTGGCAACTGCCTCCTTCCTTCTCATTCGATTTCTATATAACCATTACAATGAATGCTATGCCTCCTTCCTTCTCATTCGCCTCCTTCCTTCTCATTCGATTTCTATATAACCATTACAATGAATGCTATAATCTAGGAAACAAACTAGAAAATAAATAACAAATAAATAACAAGATTTTAAATAAGGAAACAATAATAACAACCACGCTTTTTTTCCTCCTAATTTTCCTCTATCTGTCAGTGGAACACCATGATTTAAGGAAGAACTTCTTGATTTGCATAACCCCTACCTTAACCCCAGGCCTCGACCCTGGACCCGGACTCAAATCTAACCCCAAATCCAGACCAGATCCCATAACCCAACCCGACCCCAACCTTTTGGACTTTAGACTCTGGAACCGAACTCTGGTTAGAGATAAGGTGGATGGTGGTGGTGATTGTGGTTTGCTAGTAATGGTGGCAATAGCATCAAATATTAAAAAATGACAAATTCTATATTGATGATATTAGACATTACACGATAATGAGAATGAATTTTCATTAGTACATGCATATCATACATATTAGAATGAGCATAATTACTAAGTAATAATCATTTTATTCTCATGCTTTAATATTACCAACCAAACACAACCTTAATTCTTTTATATTCAAAACAAAATGGCAACTACTGTGCCAATTATCAAAGGAAAATGTTATTTGAACTTAAAGTATAGACTTAAAAAGTGTACTTGATACTCGCAACTATTTATTGGGACCCATATACATATTCAATGATTGTGATTATAAAACACACTTTTTAAATCTATTTTTTAAGTTTACGTAGTATTGCTCATTATCAAAAAGTTGTCCTCGTAAAATCCATTAAGCTGGCCTTAGAATAAAAGGAGACATTATTATTATATATATGCTCTATGCAAGCATTAGGAATATATAGTAGGTCACTGGCATCAATGAGGAGTTGCAACAAGAAGTAGAGGGGTTTCATTATGGACAGCAATACCATTGGCTTCAGTCATATCCATACCCTCCCATGCGGCTCCACCAGGCAATGCAAAATCAAAATTGAGCATCAGATTTGCCAATGCAAGCTCATTAACTCTTACGGCAAAAAGAGTACCGAGACAACCCCTCCGACCAGCACCAAATGGAATCAACTCAAACTGTTGCCCTTTATAAATCTATAGTACCATTCAAGAACCTCTCCGGCTGGAACTCCTCGGGTTCTTCCCACAATAACGGGTCTCTTCCAATCGCCCAAGCATTGATAATCACAGTTGTGCCCCATCACTTTGACATCTTGCGTTGATTCTTGAGGAACCAGTAAAAGAACCGGAAGGGGTAATCGCAGAGTCTCTTTGATCATTACTTTCAAATAATACATTTTCTCCAAATCAGGGACAGAGCTCCATTATGGCCAAAGGGCCCATGCCCCACTAGACTTTGAAATCCTTCTATATGTATTATACAACTCTTTTGTTGCAATCCTTCTATATGTATTATACAACTCTTTCGTTGTACGGTAATATCCGTTTTTTTTTTGCGGAATACCAAAAAATCTTTCATTGTTCTACCAACTTTTTTGGGATAACCAATCAATAGAGTCGGATAAAGTAGAGTAGGGTAAGGTAGGGTTGAAATTTGAGGTAATCGAAAATTTGAATACTCCTATTTATTCTCCCTTCTACATTGACAAGATTCAATTCATTTTAACCTAAATATGATAATTTGAACTCAAAGTGCGAATCTCTTTTATCTTATTTCTTAAATTTGGAGATACCAATATCTGATTTGATTGAAATCAGATAAAATGTATATATGTTTATGCATATAATTAAACTTCTTATTAAATTGAGCAAGTCCTTTATAAAATTTTGTTCAATTCAGTCTATGATTTACTAAAATTCAGCCCAATTGAATTATTCAAATCAAATTAAATTTTGGGATGACAATTCTAGTTTTCAGTATGTTTGAATATAAAATAAACTAAAATTCTTCAGATTATAATCAAAATGTAGAAGGGGTGACCGCTTTTGTTCACATCTGAATTGAATTTGGATTTTAATGGGAATGCAAACAATTATTTTTTTAGTGTGAGGCCAAGGTTGGTTCCCCGTTCACTTTCTAGCAAAATGGTCTTGTTACGTTACCTTTAATTGTACCTGCACTAATCATCCTCTGAAAATTGTTCATATTGCAGACTAGGCAATTGTTCTTGTGTGTGGTCATGAAAAATTTTGTGCTTATCTTCAAGTTTGATTTTTTTTTTTTGGCGGTTCGTTGGTTGCAAGATTCTTAAAACTTGTCACATTTTGGTATAAATACAAGATACGGGTATAATACGATATAAATATGATAATACTATAAAACTCTAAAAAATAGAATATGGGTATGATCATGATACATTTATAAATATATATTTTATATTTTTATTATTATGCAATGACTTAATTGCTATAATTTTTAGTGATTATGCAACAATAATAAACAATATTAATAATTTTTTATTTTTAAAAAGTTACCTATCTTCTCACTATGGTACATCTACAAAGGGAACGTGATTAATTAAAAGAATAAGAACTAACATTTAATTATATTATTTGTTTAAAAGTATTTGTTGCTAAGATTGTAGAATAATCAACTCATTTAAACTCTTTTGACATGTGATAATGGATAATACTTGAAAAATACTCACGTGTTTTTCAAGTCATATAAATTTTTGTTGACATATGTAAATATTAAAACTAAAAATTACACATATTAGAAGTATTTGTGAAATATTCATATATTTTATTTATTATTACAAACGTTTAGTGTATATTTAATATATATCTTCAAATATCCGACGAACATTATATGTTATACAACATTCAATGTAGGTATATCGATCTTATCGAATAGGATTCATAGGAGCTTTGACCCCAACCCATGGGATTTTTAAAAAATATATCCAAAAGAGGGTTATTTTGAAAGTATTTTTCAAACTCGAGTAGTTTTTAAAAGGTTAGACGTTTGTAGACCAAAAAACGTTAATTGGATTAACGTTTCTAGCACTAAAACGTCAGACCAATTGATATTACTACCTAAAAACGCGAGTTGGAATGACGTTTTAGGAAAAACCTTTAGTTAAAATGACATTTTTTGAGAAAAAGTCTGTGACGGCTTTTAAAAACGATAGTCCTACTTGCGTTTTTAGTTCAGCAGACCAGGGAATGATATGTCTTTTGTGTGTTAAAATTACTAAAGGCCTCAAGCTAAAGTACACCTTCTTCTATTCACTTTCGTGTTCAATTGGTTCTGAATTTGTGGACGATATTTGTGTCTTTGACATTTCATTTAAGTGGGGTAGTTCATTGAAGGACAACAAAAAAGACCCATCCTCCCTTGGTCTGCTAAAAACGTTATTCCACAAGCATATATTGTCCTCCAGAAAGTGAAACAGCATTCAACTATTGGTAAGTATAAGCAAAGTGTTGGAGCAAGAAACAATGGTGTTCCAATGGCATATCTCAATCTTCTCTGTCCTCTCCTTGTTCTTCTTCATTGTCTTCCTTCTCAAATGGTTTTTCAACACTCCAAAAACCCAAGAAAACCTACCTCCTTCCCCACCTAAGCTTCCAATTATAGGAAACCTTCACCAGATTGGGTTGTTACCTCACCGCTCGCTCCGAGCATTAGCTCAACGTTATGGCCCACTCATGCTGCTTCAGCTCGGCGGTGTGCCAGTGCTCATAGTCTCCTCAGCCGATGCAGCCCACGAAATCATGAAAACCCATGACCTGATATTCTCAAACAGACCCAAATCAAGCATTGCCAGTAGACTTCTCTATGACTCTAAGGACATAGCATTTGCTCCTTATGGAGAGTATTGGAGGCAGGTGAAAAGCATATGTGTGCTCCAACTTTTAAGTAACAGGAGGGTTCAGTCATTCAAAAACGTCAGAGAAGAAGAAACAGCACTTATGATTCAGAAAATTAGGCAGAACTGTTCTTCTTCTTCTTCAGTTGTGAATTTGAGTGAGATTTTAATATCACTTACGAATGATGTGGTTTGTAGGGTGGCGTTGGGAAGAAAGTACAGTGGAGGGGGAGAGGTTATGGAATTGTTGGGGGAGTCTGCGCAATTATTGGGTGTTTTTAATGTTGGGGATTATATCCCATGGCTTGGGTGGATGAATCGTGTAAATGGTTTGGATGCTAAAGTAGAGAAAGTAGCTAAAGGGCTTGATGAATTTCTGGAGGGTATTGTTAAGGACCACACGGAGAGGAAGAAAGGAAAGAATGATGGTGGTGGTGGTGATAGTGTTGAAGAAGGGACAGACTTTGTGGATATTTTGCTTGAAATTCAGAGAGAGAAAATGACTGGCTTTTCTATTCATAGAGATACCATTAAAGCCCTTATCATGGTAAGCATAGCTCTCTACCCCTCTGTGTGTTTATATAGTTCTTTAGTTATTCTCATTGGTTTACACCGTCTTAGATCACTTATCAACACGGCTTTAGGTGTCTTGCAAGTTTTGAGTCAGTTGGTATAGCCTCTAGGAAAGAATCCATGTAGTAATATTGAAAATTCCAACACAATCAAAATTAGTTGAGCAATGCTACTTGAAATTAATATTTGTTGTGCTGTAATTGATTTAATTATGAGTTCTAGCATTTATTGAGACTTATTACCTATTCAATAGTTATAATTGATCAATTAGACAAATCATGTCAATATTTTAAGTTCAAATAATATTTCTCAAGTAATTAAAAGGCCATCAATGTCAAGTTATGATTCAAAGTGGTCAATCACAACTCAATTGGGTCAAATTATGACTCAAAAATCTTTAAATCGATTCTAATTTCTCTAATGTTAAAAGTATTTCATTCTTGGGAGAAGTAGTTTACCCATAACACTTGTAAATCTATAAAAAAAAAAAAAACAGTATATAAATCATGTACCAATCCGAAATTAATTTTTCAAGAAATTTATTTCTTTGTAGGATATGTTTGGTGCTGGGACTGAGACAACATACACACTTCTAGAATGGACAATAACAGAGCTCTTAAGACACCAAGAAACCATGAAGAAATTGCAGAATGAGGTGAGAGAGGTAGCGAGAGGCAAATCAAATATAACCGAGGATGATTTAGAGAAAGTGCACTGTTTGAAAGCAGTGATCAAAGAAACTCTACGGTTACACCCGCCAGTTCCATTATTAATTCCTCGAGAATCAATACAAGATGTCAAAGTGATGGGCTATGAAATTGCAGCTGGCACGCAGGTGATTATCAATGCTTGGGCGATTGGAAGGGACCCCTCGTCGTGGAAAGAACCTGAGGAGTTTCAACCTGAGAGGTTCTTGAATGCTTCTATAGACTATAAAGGGCAACACTTTGAGTTGATTCCATTTGGAGCTGGCCGGAGAGGGTGTCCTGGTATTCATTTCGCCGCAAGTGTTTTTGAGCTTGCATTGGCAAAACTGATGCTCAATTTCGATTTTGCCTTGCCTGGTGGAGCACCAGGGGAGGACATGGATATGACTGAAGTTAATGGTCTTTCTGTCCATAAAAAATCTCCTCTACTTGTTGCTGCAACTCCTATTACTTGCCAGTGACTTGCTGGTTCTAATAATAAGCACACTGGTATTTTATATTTGATATTTTACTTTTCTGCTACTATGTATCAACTAAATTTGCATTTAGGTGATGTATTCAATATCTAAGCTTCTAAGTATTCAATATCTCCGTCCTCCTAACTCCTCTTTTTCTGGATATTTTATGTATGGTGGGATATTCCTTTTGTATATGGTCTCTTCGGTTAATTGAAAACAACTTATAAATATCTAAGCTCTTCTTTTTTTTTAATTTTAATAAGGGTTAATTGAGCGGAGTTATTCGGGTTCCGTAGGATAGGAGTCGATTCAAACTTAGCTTCGATTCGAACTTAGCTTGTATTTTAAATAAGTTGAATTTGAACAATTTTTTAGATTCGTTTATATGCAAAATAGTCAAATTACTCAACCATAGCTCAAGTCGAACTTGAATAATTTTTTATGTTCGTTTAAACAAAAAGAGCTCGATAAGCTCGGGTCAAACTTACAAAACTCATCTTGAATATCAGCCTTACAAGTATTTGGAATGGATAATCTGATAAACTTGAGTAAGTTAAAAATTACAGTAATATTACTGAATCTAATAACGAAACCTAAAGCAATGTAGTTAATAGACCAACACCGGATCTTAGCACTTTTTTTTTTTTTTTTTGCTCTCCTTGGTCTTAGCATTTAATGAAGTCTGCTGTCAATTTATTAATAGTCAGACTGCAGTAGGCCTAAATTTCCAAATTGGGCAAACGATACTTTGTATCCAAAAAGATTTTTGTATTTTCAATTCAAACCATAAAAGATTAAAATTCTCATATTGTACTCTCAATCAAATAAAATATTAGCAATAAGCTCTATTTTTTAAAAAATTAAATATAAAATTTTCATTGAAAACACTTAATATTGAGTATTATGCAAATAATTGTATATATAAGTAGGATAATATAATGAATAGAACAAAAATATTTATTAGAATAAGAAATGTACATTTAGTTTTGAACTAAATTGCTACCTTTTCGGGCCTACCACATATAGTAACATGTTTTATATCCGACAGAGTTGCCGTATTATGGAAAAGATGCTTGTGAAAATTAATATTATAAATTAAAATAATTTTTTTATATGCTCATGAAATTAAATAATTTTTGCAGCCCTCTTTCTATAGGAATTTGCTATATATTTCAACAACGTTGGGGGGAGTGAACCCTCTTTCCAGCCGATTCGTTACAAAATGATTCAAAATATAATAGTACAGAGAATTAAAACCAATCAGTTCTAATTGTCTTATAATACACCAAACAAGATAATTAATGTTTATCACGAGATTAACGGCTGGACTAATGACTAATGTCTCTGGTCTTGGATCTTAAGGTCCTTAATTTGAACCTTATGATCGCCCTTGGTTAAAAATGTAATTTTTTGTAGTGTCCTCTATAATAATATGTCACCAAAAAATATATATTTTTATCACTAAGTCTCTAATTATGTGAATAGAAAAATAGTTGCTAAAAAATTCATTACAAATTTGATTGTAGATGAATTCTGAAATGTAAAAGAACATTGAGCATCACTTTAATAGGCGAGAGAAAGGATATGTAAAAAAATATATTATTGGGTTTATTATTTTATTTATTTATGGTTGGTATCTTTGTTTGTGTTGAATATATTTTTTGTCTCTTGATAAATTCGATAAATTACGAACTTGAAATCTAAAAGTATAATTCGCATGAATTTATATTAATAAAATAGAGCGTTCAACTTATTAATCGTCAAGTGTTTGGTTCCGCAGAACAGTAGGCCATCAGGTTTGACTGATGTGGGCCAGCCCACGTAGTATTCGGGGTTTTAATTGCCTCTTATTTCAACGAAAAATTAGAGAGAATGCCTTCTGGAGGAGAACACCTGGTTCTGGACCATTTTATAAACCGACGAGGGGGACCACATGAAATGACAAGTTGCCTTGAGGAGCTCCAACAAACAGCTGTCTTCTGCTAATCGCTAGTTCCACTGTATGAGCCGTACTTAATCTCAGCTTGTTTAAAAATATTAATTTAAATTCTGAAAAATATAAATACGTGCACCTGAAATTAACTATCATCAAATTTATAGTTAAAAAGTTTAAATTAATTATAAATTATACCCTTCAAAATTTAAATATTTTACATTTATGATCCAAGAAAAATTTCATCCATTAATGCTAGTTAAATAGGTCTTAATTGTATCGTGTCATAATACTTTCGTATTGTATATGCGTTAATAAAAAAATATTTTTATATCGAATCAATTGCGTTGTGTCATATATTTAACATTTATGACATCTCATATAATATTATTTAAAAATTAAAAAATATCTATTTTTTATATATAACACTTGTTAAATAACTATTTTCTGTCTATAGTAGTGTTATTCGTATCTAATTTTAATTTGATCAGGCAATTAAAAGATTTGTGTTTAACTGTAGATAAAAAATAGCTATTTAACAAGTATTGTAAATAAAAAATAAGTATTTTATAGTTTTTTAAAATTTTAAAAAATATTTTTTTTGACTTGAGCATGATACGATGATGCTATAATATGATACAATTAAGAGTTATTTAACGAGCATTAATGTATGAAATTCTTTTTGGATCATAAATATAAAATATTTAAATTTTTAGGGGTATAATTTATAATTAGTCTAAACTTTTTTAACTGCAAAATAGATGGATTTAGTCGTACGTGTATATTGATATGAATTTATATCTTTTAGAGTACTAGCAATGCACCACGTGTGTTGTATGTGAATAATTTTTGTATATAAAATATTAATAAAAAATATTAAATATCATTTTAAGTTTATCAAAATTATATTTTTATTGCTCGTATTATACTATAGAATTCGAAAAATATTATTTGTTTTCAGTGATATGTTGTTCTAACTAAAAGAAAAAAAAAATTAAAATAATTCATTTAAAATTCATTTGATTAGGTTTAATCTTATAATTCATTGAATAAAATAAAAATAATTATCAATATTCTAATTAATGCTTATTATAATTAGGAATTAGTTAGGCCAATAGGAATAAAATATAGGATTAATAACACTTTTGGTCTTTAAAATATGCGCTTTTTATCAGTTTAGTCATCAATATATAAATTTTTTCAATTTAGTTCCAAAAATATTCAATTCTTGTTTAAATAGTTTCTAATTAGACAATTCATTAAGTTTTTTGACGGAAGTATATCATTCCATCAGATATTATCATATGACCAGCATGTGATCACTTATTTTCAAAACTTAACAGATTATCTGTATATGGATCATTTAAAATTAATTAAATATTTTAAAGACAAAATTGATAAAATTGATGCAATAAGGACAAAATTGACAAAATATGCAAATTTCAGTGACTAAAAATGCTATTAAATCTAAAATATAATATACTACTCTATAATATATATTTTAAAAGAATATTAAAATTCTAAAATTCAAATTTTACTTTAAAATACACTATAATTTTATATAAACTCTTAATAAAACATGAAAATTTTATCGTGGTTGATGAATTATATTAATTTAACATAAATTATTTAAAAAAAACTACGTAAATGATTATTTTTTATCTTAAAAATAAAATTATTGAAATTTTGGATAAAAAAAATATACACATATATAAATATAATGTTATTATTATATTTGAAATAAGTAAATATTAGATTGATGAAGTTTTTGAAGATTTTTTGAACATTTTATTGAAAACTATAATAATGCATATATTTTTTAAGGATAATGTAGTTAATTAAAAATTTTCATAGATACTGATATTTATACATAGTAAATAGAGAATTAAAAGATATGTTAGGGATAATTTGGAGATTTATACACATAAATATATAATGATAATTTAGATATTCAACTATAGAAGGATTGTGTAGTATTTAAAATTCTTTATAAGAATAAAATACTGAATAAAAAGTTTTTCATGCTTAGACAAAAGTTTCATTCTTTATTAGTAGGACGAACCCGTTGGTCATTTCCAATGCATGGGCAATCGAAAGAGATCCTGGATCGTGGGACGAACCCGATAAATTTTGCCCGAAGAGGTTCTTGAACTCCTCCATAGATATCAAAGGCCATTACTTTCAGTTGTTCCCATTTGGTGCTGGCAGTAGAGGGGATGCCCTGGAATTGGCTTTGCAATGGCCACTAATGAGCTTGTTTTGGCAAATCTTGTGCAAAAGTTTGATTGGGAATTGCCTAATGGAGCAAAAAGGGGAGGACTTGGATGTAACTGAATGCCCTGGTGTTCAAGAGCTTTTATCCTAATCTATGTTTTTTTTTAAAGCTTATATTCAAAGGAGGCTTATTTTCAAACTATTTTTTAAATTTACATACTTACAAAAACGTTAGTTCAAATGACGTTTTATAAAAACGTTATTTGGACTAACGTT